TATTTCCTGGTATAAACAAAATAAGCCAATATGATGCTGTGCCTATCAGGAATAGCCAAGAACACTGAATTAATGGCCCCTGAGATTTGACCAGGGAGGAGGTTTTAAGAGATCATTTAACAAAGTATCTTTTCTGCCCTTTAACCCTAAAACTAAAAATTCTGAGATCCTGTTAAAAGGTTTTATGGAGAGCAGCATGAATGTCAAACGTATCTGCACACAGAGCACTGGGGCTAATTCTGTCTCTTTAATCCCCAAATTCATATCAAAAATCATTTGCTTAAGGACAGGTATTTAGTGATTGATTTTATACCTAATACAGGCACTTCCCAATTGACAGTTGAATTCCAAAATTAATTTGTTGCCCTCTCTCTTATTTTTTTTTCCTGTACCTACTCCCTACAAATATTTGAGGCAGCTAAGTTTATTTGTAAATCACTTGTATGGAATTTGGAAAATGTTTTCTTATAGAAATAGCTGTGTGTGTGTTGAGTAGTTTGGGTTCAGCTGAATAACCATTTGTTGAACAAACACAATGTGTGAACCTCATTTGACAATGAGGTTCACACAGCAGTGAATGGATGCATAAGGTATAGGAGAAGCTTACAGCAAGGCTAGTGTATTATAGGATTTTTCTCAATGGACCTGGGAACCCAACTGCCCTGCTCAACCCAGGTAGAGCTGCCTCCACCCCAGCGCTACTTTCTCCTCCTCTAAAATGCTGTCTTTGGCCAAGCTTAAGGGATAATCAGAAGGTGGGACCTGCCCTAGCTGGTTTGGCTCAACTGATAGAGCACTGGACTGTGGACCGAAGGATCCTGGGATCGATTCTAGTCCAGGGCACGTACCTCAGTCGCACGCTCCTCCCTGGCTGGGCCCTGGTTGGGGGCAGGTGTTAGAGGCAACATCGATGTTTCTCTGTCTTTTCATCTCTCTTCCACTCTCCCTAAAAATCAATGGAAAAATATCCTCAGGTGAGGATTAACCAAAAAAAGAAGGAGGAGGAGGAGAAGGAGGAGGTTGTTGGACACTGACAGCCCCCAGGGATTGGGCCTTGAAACGCACTCAAGGAATCTCTGTGTGCCCTCTCTACAAGAGTCTTTTCCTTCTGCCATGGATGTGCGAGGAGCCCAAGCCCTTTCCTGCTCTGCCTTGGGGCTGAGGGCAATGCAAACCAGCCACAGTGCCTTTTAATGACTACTCTCTTTGTCCATAGCTCCAATTAAGTTATTTAATTAAAAGCTTCCTTCTATTAGAAGGTGTGGGGATGGCGAGAGTCATTGCCAACCTCCTACTACACAAGAATTCTGCTGGGTACAATTAGAAGAGAAAATTGTTTCTTCTTGATTAAGAAGTTCTGCGGCACCTGCAGGCAGCGTTGGGACAGAGGTGGAACTGTGGCGGGGCTCAGAGAATGCTTATCACTTTACAAGGCTCCGGATGGGCTGTGTTCTGGGCCTCCTCAGCCTGGGAGCTCATTTGTCTTCTGAAAGTTTATAAATTGGATGCTATGACTTTTAAGAATTACAGCAGGAGTCCTGCCAATAGTGTAAGATGGATCACACAATATAAAGGAGTTTAGCTGGTTCTTAAAGTGGAAACTAAAGATCAGATCTGATCTAAAAAGATCAGAGTGAGAAGTAGACTCTCCAAGTGGGACATGCTATGGGAAGGGATCAAGAAAATGGTAGGAGATGGGCCAACACCTGGTGAATTAGACACCTGGGGAAATAACGGAACCAACTACAGAACACAGAGCAGGAGAGAAAATAGCCTGGCTCCTCTCAGGAGTTCCTTATGACTCAGTCACCATATCAGATTGTCGGATTTGAATGTTGCCTGAAAAAAATTTTTTTTCCAAGAATTACTATGAGATGAAAAGTAGCTACTTAAAGTGACATAGTAGGCTTGTTCAAACAATGTCCCAAAGAAAATTTGGTTCCTGAATCACAAGTAAAATTAGATTTGTATGTGTGCTGTGATGCAATTTTTAAAACATTTTAAGTTGGTGAAAATAATATTTCCAAAGCAATTGGCTTTTTCTGTTTTGTCATTATATTATACTTCCTGCTTCACCCTCTGCATTTCCAGTGCAATTAAGACCTCACCAGAAGACAAGTGGTTCACTTGCCGCTAATTAGTTAAAAAAAATATTTCTAGTTTATTGTTTATATAATCCAGATAAAACACAACACTCAAAAGAACAAGAAGTTTGGCACATGGACACAGACTTCCACCCGAATATGTGACTCTAATATTTGTTAATAATATAGAGCTTTCCCCTAATATCCATGTACTGACCCTGACATCATTTTGTCAGTGGCCTCTTTTGTCAATTGCCATAATAGAAGCATCTGAGAAAGATCCAGATATCTTTTAAAAAAAAAAACAAAAACCACATATTTGATGTTATGAACTTTAACATTTAAACAAAGTCCCATATTTTGAAAAGAATGTGTCATCTGCTCCCTCAAGAATCTTAACATCTCAAGTGACATTTGGGTCCATAAAAATCAGCCACTTGCTTTTCAGGTCTGTGCAGTGCCCCACACAGCTCTCTAAAGGCACAATCTGCCAAAGTAGGTGAAATGCTGCGTTCCTCCTGGACGTGTGGGCTTCTGGAAGAAAACCGTGTCCTTTGTTCTTTGGGTTTCTGAATAATAGATGGTAGCCAGGAGGAAGACAAGGGGGGGGATGTTCTTTTAAAGAATCATCCCTGCCACCCCCACAGCACTGGGAACTGTGAAGAAGGACCACTGGAGAGAACACAGCATTAGCTCCTCCTTGGATCAAGACCTGGTTTGCAGGGGCCATGTCTTTTTTCCCCTCTGCACATCGTGGCTCAGGGGGTGGGCCCAATCTTTGCTCATTAACTATGGGATCAGCTGTCCCGGGTGCTGATAGCTTCCTTCTCCACCTTCCTGTCGGCTGTGGCACCTGGTACATGGCGTGATCTGTGCTTGAAATCTTGTGCAAACTTCCTCGTGCCTCTTCACTCTGACATCTGTTCTGTGGGGTGTCTGGGCCAGGCTGGCCCTCCTTCTCCCCAAAGAGCCCTGCAGACGTCAGCTTGGCTCTGTCTCAGCTCTGCCAGGAGGTGAAGGTGGGTCCGACGTTCTCCCGTGAGCCTTCTCTGACTCTTTTGAACTTTTTATCAGGCCACGAGGAAGGCCCCGGAGGCTCAGACATGTGCCCCTTGCAGAGATCCAGTCACTTCCCACCATCTGGGCCCGTGTGGCCACTCAGACCAGAGCATCAGCTGAGAGAGAGCAAACCTCCTAAATCAGCAAGACATTTACTGGAGGAATGACTCCCTTTTGTCAGCCGCTGTAATAGAAGTGTCTGAGAAATGTGCTCTTAACAGTTACGGGGAAAAGGAAGTAGTGATGCAGCCAGCTCCCAATTATCTGAGGGCCACTTCTCCAGTTTGCAAGCTTCCTTTTCTTTATAGTCTCATTTCTCCTTTTGCTACTGTGTTCAGAGTGAACACTGCAAGGAAAGAATGTACGCATTTATCTGTTTTGCTCTTGTTATAAACAAATAGTCTGATCGGAAGTCTGAAGAAATTGGGGCTGAAACCTGAAATTAGATTTGGGGATTACCTGTGGATTGCATTCCTTACCATCATAACTAGAAACACTCCACAGTTGCTTGTCTGCTTCCCTGTTCATTCTCAGGAAGATTTATCTTCAACAGAATGAAAGAGGATTTTGCTGTTAGTTTCTCTGCACAGGATTTTTCCTACAGACTGAAGAAACTCTGACCTTAGCAATCAGTGCATCCAGGCGGAAAGAACCGGGACAGGGTGAGACTGATGGGTTCATAGCTACTGTGTAGCATCAGAAAATGAACTTCTCTGAGGCCTCTTTTTTCTCTCTGTCAGGGGCAGATAAGAGTAATTGTTAGAGCTGCTGACAGGCTCACAGTAGGAAATGTTTATGAATGACTAGCTTGAGGCCTGTCATGGAAGGCGCTTAGTCAGGCCAGGGCCCTCTGAGAGGAAGGAGGTGTGTTGCCCGCTCTCCTACTGGGTGCTTTGGGACATGCTGGCCTCTCAGTCCCTCTGAGCCCCCACCTGTAACGTAGGAACATGGTGGTAAAGATAGTTAAGTTGGTCCCGCCAAGGTCAGATCCATAGAGGACACAATTCAGCCCAGGATGAGTGCCTTTTAAGCTCAAGCAATTTTGGTTTTTCTACCCTCTTAATTTTTTGGGAAAGTCTACGCTGGAGACACCTCAATTAGATAAAAAGAAGATTTTGCTTGTGAAGATTTACTGTCTTTTCTTGTATTTACTTACTTTTTGCACAGATACGTATGCGAGACACTGGGTGGGTCTTCAGTACTGGGCTGTGCCACAGGGCTCAGAACAGGAAGTGTGGGGAAAGTGCACAATTAGCCCAGCCTGTGGGTGGGTGACTCCGGATGAACAGTGGGTTAGAACCAAGGAAGAGAAATGAAATAGCACCTTCCCCGCTTCACCAACAAGAAAATGAAATGACGATACTGACAGATAACCCACCCAAAATCTTAGAGAATGAACTAAGAGCAGGTCTGATGCAGGGTTTCCAAAACCCAAAAAGACCTACGTGGGGGCCAGAAGTGCCTCCTTGAATTGAACTGATTTGAGGGGAGGTCACATCCAGGCCCTAAACAGAACATACCTTTTCTGGCTCTATTTGGTCTGAACTGCAGTGCCTAGCCCAGCACTCACATAAAATAGTCACCTATTAAGTATTGATTGATTGATTGCATTTGATTGATAATCTATAGTCACACACACACACACACACACACACACACACACACACGCTCATGCCTTCTTCTTTTTTTCTTGTTAGAAAAACCAACAAATAAAACAGGTCATACACGTCTACTCACTTTTAGAATCACATATAGCTCAGCCCAAGGAGAAGACTGAAAAAGAAAAAAAAAAACAAATCTAAAAAATGTCATGTGTCAGACATTTAACTTGCCCGGCTTGTGTCTCTGATTTCACAGCTCCCGAGGTCCTCGCACAGAAACCTTACAGCAAAGCTGTTGACTGCTGGTCCATCGGAGTGATTGCCTATATCTTGTAAGTATTGCTTGCCATTTAGGCTTCTTTTTTCCCTTTTTTTAAATTGTGGCAAAATTGGCATAAACAAAATGTACTATTTAACCACTTTAAGAATGCAGTTCAGCAGTTAAGTATATTCATATTTTTGTACAATCATCACCACCATCCAACTCCAGAACTTCTTCATCTTCCCAAATTGAAACTCTATCCTCATGAAACAATAACTCCCTATCCTCCCCCCGCCCCCAAACACCCCTGTGGCAACCACAATTCTACTTTTTGCCTCAAGGGATATAACTATGTATTCTAGGTTCCTCATGTAAGTGGAATCACACAGTATTTTTCCTTCTGTGTCTGGCTTATTTCACTTAGAATAATGTCCTCAAGGTTTAGCCATGTTGTAGCATATGTCAGAACTTCTTTTTGAGGCTGAATAACATTCCATGTTGTGTATATACTACATTTCACTTATCCATTCATAACATTGCTATACAGTAAACACAAGTGTACAGATATCTGTATTAGTATTGCTTTCAATGCTTTTGGGTGTACTTGTATACCCAGAAGTGGAGGGTTTCATCATATGGTAATTCTATGTTTACCTTTTTGAGGAAAAAATTACTATTTCTCAAAGCAGCACAACCATGTTACATCCCCAACAGCAATGCACAAGTGTCCCAATTTCTCCACATCCTTGTCAGCACTTGTTGTTTTCCACTTGCTGATAATAGCCATCCTCATAGGTGCAAAGTAGCACCTCATGTAGCTTTGATTTGCATTTCTGTTATAGCTACTGATACTGGACATCCTTTCATGTTCCACCTTGGCTTTCTGGGGATGCACATCACTATGAAAATATCAGGGTGTCCCTAAACGAAATCACAATGAGAAAAAATGTGATGGAAACCAAAATGTAGCCTTTGGATTCCTCATTTCTTCTCAGCTCACTTATTGCCACTCTCTAGGAAATGCAGTCTGAGGTCATAGGCTCATTGCAGTTACTTCATGATGATCAATTTTGTTTTTTATTGTTATGTTTTATTGTGCTTAAGTCTACTATAAAGTTATTTTTAAGTTACAATTTATTTTTCCAACACTTATTATTAAACATACTTATGATGGGTTTAGGTTAACTAGTTTCTGTAATTGATAGAAAATTAACTCTTTCTCCTCATTGTCCCCAAGAAAGGGAACATTTCCTAGCAGACAGAGCCCACTGCACAGTGAAAGACTGCGATCAGTAGAGGACTATGATCAAAGAAAGGTCTGACAGTCTGTGGCATCCTCAAGGAATGCTGGGAACACACACACACACACACACACACACACACGTGCCTCATTACCTGAGAAGAAAATGATCTTTCTATAGCATACATTCAGCTGGGAAGCTTTTGTAGACGACTAAGATAAAAGAACAGGGGGTGGTGGAGGAACCAGTTTAGGGGGCAAGTGAGATTAAGCATTTCATTTGGGGCATGTTAAACTTGAGACCCCATTGAGATATCCGTGGACTAGTGTATGCACACGTGGAGGTCAGAGGTCTAGGGAAGAGATACTGGAGTATGGGTCTGGGTATGATTTGAACAGTTCTGCATCCAAATCCTTATATGTATACGATAAATTATTTGACTGGATTCAAGTCTAGCATTAAGCAAAGAAAAACTGTATTTCATTATTTCTATTTTAAATATAAACTTGCCAGTTACTTGGTCATTACTAGCTTCGCTCCAGGGCTTCGTCTCAGGTTGATTTCATGACTGCGTCAGAATTGAAATGGCAGCCTGGGCTTCTGTTTGTCTTGCTGCCTTCCAGAGCCCTGAGCCTCTCAAGCAGAGAATGAATGGAGTTTGGATGCCTCAGTTGTACCTTCCAAGGTGTTCAGATCCTTGAGTGATAGGCCATATCCTGGATATAATTGCTACAGAATATGGCTATGCTTGAAGAGCCACTAGTCTCGAATATATCATTATCAGTGTCAACAACTACCATGTCTTGAGTGCCTTTTCTGTTCCAGGCACTGTGCTAGGTGCTAAAGATAGCAAGATAACAAAGGCACGATGCCTCTCATCAAAGTACTAACAAGGTATATGGTGGGACAAGAAATTCCATGAGCAGATTAAGTGACATGCAGGGAGGCCCGTGTACAGCTGTAGACGTTCCTGGGGTGAAGCACCATTGAGGACAGGGACATTCAGGAAGGAGGAGGCACCATCCCAGGTATGTGTAGAGGCTGGAGAAAACTATCAGAAGCAAAGAGGAGAGAAGAGAGCATTCTGACCAGGGAGAGACGCAGGCACAGGAACAGGTGCCTGAGATACGTTCAAAGGCTGATGTAAATGTCCTGAAAAAGGTGGTCGGTGTTCTGGGCACAAAGCTGGCTCTGAGTTGACTAAATGTTAGAAGTTAGAACTCATAGGTATCGGCCTCAGACTCTTACTACTTCCCACTGACCCACTGTGCCCGGACTCCCCATTCCCATCCTTCATTGAAGAGTGACCAGCACTCACCACCCCAGGGAAGCCAGGCATCCCATGGGGCTCCCTGCCAAGCTCTTCATTCTTCCCATCACCTGTGATGGAGAGGTGAGCCCCTGCAGGGTTTTTGGAGGCATTTTCATTTGACAGGCTGAGATATGAGATTGCAGCAAAGGGGGCTGGGACAGACCATGGCACCAAATTTTCTCCTCTCCATATGCCATGCAAACATTCCTCATTTTGCCAGTGCAGCGACTTGATGAATTGGTTCTCTATTGATCTCCACTCTCATTTCTATACTATCCATCATTTGGGAGAAGAAATATCTTTCCTATCTGGGGGACTCGTTTTTTAAAGCACATGTGATGGGTCCTTGTCCTGCCAGGAATCCCCTGTGGGGATCAGGACGTGCAAAAACATCTCTGCCTGCGGAGCTCAAGCTACTGGGAAGGGCTGAGGGTGGAGTGGCTGGACACCCTGGTGAGCATGCTGGTGTCCAGTCTGACGGGGTTGGCTCAGCCAAGACAAGTTCCAAGGAAATGAATGTCCCCACTCAAAATGAGATTAGCATTTCGTTGACCAAACTTGATTATGTGATTGCTCACAGGCTGCTTTCTTCTCACAACTCCAAGGGGAGAATTTAATGATCACTTGCCTAAATTATGCTCAGGAATACAACACGCTATGGAGAAATGCAGCGGACTTTTGCTGATACAAACACTGAGGAAGATCCTGAGGAGATTAGGCATTAGAGTGTTGGGCAGGCTGGATGGTCAGAGTATACTTGCCATGGGTGGTGAGGGCACTTACCCATGCTGTGACCTAGACCTGTGTGCCCAAAAGAAGCTCCAGGCAAAATACTAGGGTAGCCCCTTATTTTTTGACTGGCTTCCTATATTGTTCAGTTTTTAAAACTAGGTCACATAAACACTGATTGGCCAGTATACACAGAATAATTAGTTTTTTTTAAGAGTGGAACTGAGAATGCCTGATCTCCATGCTATGTCCATTTTCTGAGACAAAGGATGGCCTTCACCAAGGTAGTCACCTTTACTTTAACACATTGACAGCTGCCTTTTTATAGATATACTAGAGCCCCGGTGCATGAAATTCATGTGGGGTGGGCGGGACCCTCAGCCCAGCCTGCACCCTCTCCAATCCGGGACCCCTTGGGGGATGTCCGACTGCCGGTTTAGGTGTCTAAACCGGCAGTCAGACATCTCTCTCACAATCCTGGACCACTGACTCCTAACCACTCACCTGCCTGCCTGCCAGATCGTCCCTAACTTCCCCCCCGCCAGCCTGATCACCCCTAACTGCCGCCCGCCCCCTCCTCCGCCAGCCTGGTTGCCCCCAACTGCCACCCCCCCAGCTGGCCTGGTTGCCCCACGCAGCCTGTTGGGTCGTCTGTTCAGTTGCAATGGTCACTTAGGCTTTTATATAGATAAATATGTCCCTGGAGTAGGACAGGACCCCAGCTTCAGTAGGAGAGAAGGTGGCGTGATGACCAAGCCCCAGGAAATAACCAAGCCTGGGTATTATGATGGTCGTTACTACCACTGGTATGAGGAGTGTTACCACTAATAAGAACAGTTATCTGGCATTGCCACAGGCAGCAACCATCTCACTATATTCATAAGCGTTGCCAAGTGGGACACATGCCTCATTCAGGCTGCATGGGCCCGTGGTCTGGACATCGGCTTTAGAAGTTTAGAAACTAAATTATTCATTTTCCTTAGACGCTCATAGTGAATTGATTCAAACTAGCCAAACTCAAAAGAGATTTGAAATCAGAGTGTCAGTTCACTAAATCATAACAAGATTTGTGTCCTGTGAGGTGATTGAAGATGCATGTCATCACCCTCACAATTTTCCTTGATAGGAAACATTCCGTGAGAAAGCAAATTAAAACCAGAAGTTTCCCTTAAGAACAAGGAATCAAAGCAGTGGAGTCGATGCCTCAGCAGTTTCCAGGGGGCCTGTAGTTGTCTCAGGTCACCCTTCTCCCCAAAGGGCATTACTGTCCATGGACACAGCTCCTCCTTTCGGCTCATCAGAGTGGCTGCAGCTGATCAGTTCTTACCCCCTCCCCACCCCTGCCTGCTCCTTTCCTGCCTAAAGTCCAGCCAGCACCCCACTTTTCCTTATTCTAGCTTCATCTTGTTTATTTCGGCAGCATTATAATTCTACGTTTACTGATTCGATTTCACTGACTGCATTTCCATGTGGCTGCTTTCAGAAAGGGTTTTCAGAAAGGTGCCTGATCGCCCTCTGCATTCTGTACTGAGTGGGCCCTGTGGTGGCTCACTGCCTTTCTTAGCGTCAGTCTCAGACACAAGTCCTTCTTGGCCAGCTTTCAGCTTCGTTCGTGGCCTGTGATCCTCTCTCCTCTGCTTGGTTCACCTATAACCTGTTTGGAAATAGTCTAACATAAAGTACTCTTTGGTTTCACAAAGTGGGTGCAGAGCTATGCACAGTGGTGATGGAGGGAATTTTACAAGCTGTGCAATTGAGATAAAGAAAGTCTGCAGTTTAGATGATGGT